CCCCCCCCCCCCCCCCCCACTTCCCCCCCTGCTCTTCCTTTTATCCCCCCCTCCCCCCCCCCCCCTGCCAGATGGACCTGGAGGAGGAGCGGTACCACCTGCGAGTGTCCCAGCGGACCTGCCGGCAGAAGCTCTGGCTCTGTTTCATACGGCTCCTGCTCAACTTCATGGTCGTGATTCTGCTGGGCGGCTCCTTCTACCTCATCTACAGAGCCACCGCATTTTCCCAGTCTGGCAAGTTACCTGTAAGTGGACGTCCATCTTCCCCCTTTCTGCTGCCCTGGCTCCCTCTCTCTTCCTCTCCCTCATTCATTCTCTCGCTCCCTCTCTCGGTCGCCCAGGAGAACGAGTTCCTCAGGCTTCTCCAGCAGTACCTCCCCCCCTTCACTATCACCTTGGTCAATTTTGTGCTCCCGCAACTTTTCCGGATCATCTCCAAATTCGAGGACTACTCTCTCACCGTCCAGGTCAACATCACTCTGGTCAGGTGGGTGGAGCCCCGATGCCTTCCTGTGGGCTTCTCTCCCCCCCCACCATATTTCCTGACATTGTGCAGCCTTATAACTGTAACTGTACCGGAAATTCATTTCATGTTTACTAATGAGGGGGGGGGCTCAGCAGGTCAGGCCTCTGTACCTCTGATCGGAAGGTTGTTGGGTTGAATCCCGGGCTCAACAGAATACTCACATTGCCGTTGGGCCCTTAACCCCCCACTCCCCCAAAAAATGGTCCAGGGGTGCCAGATAAAAGGCTGACCTTGTGCTCAAAGCCCAAGCATCAGCCTAAGTTGGTGATGATTATCTTCTAATGCTGTATTCTGCAGTGAGGAGGCACTGACAGCCAGAGTCCTTTTAATTCTAACACACTAATACTATATTTTAACACTAACAAACTAATACCTTATTGTAACTCTAACACATTCAGCCTCCTCTTTCTTCAAGTCACATGACTTGTTTCTGCTGGGTGTGTTTAACGGCTGATTGTGTTCAGTAGCTTAGCTATTTATTAATTCACCAAACTGTCAATATGGTACCACTGATGTCTGGGAGATTATATTTTTGGGTCATTCGACGGCTTTTTTAAGGCATTTTGAGTACCACCATCATCTCTGTTATGAAGTCGTTGACACGGTTTAATGGTATTTAACGGTGTTTCTTGTTATCTTTTCCTGGTTTTAAAGGAGCATCATCCTGAAGCTTGCCTGTTTGGGGATCTTCCTCTTCTTTCTTTATATGACTCTCCAGACCAACAATAATGAGGTACTGAAGCGCTAACATCCATCAGCCGTTCTCAGGACGCGGTCTGCACTCCTACATAAAAGCATCTGAATCACTCTTTCTGTTTTCACCGCCAGTGCTGGGAGAATCAGTTTGGCCAGGAAATGTACAAACTTCTGGTTTTCGACTTCCTGGCCTGCTTCACTGTCACGTTCTTCGTGATGTTCCCCAAAACGTGAGTACACCCTTTCATCCGTCACCTTCCAGCCTGTTACAGGACAAGGTGAGGTGTAGTGAGTCACATCCTTTAAAACTGCCTTTTAAAAGCCACTGTCGCACTTAGTGCCAGGAAATCCGTGAGCCTTTTGAAGGGACGTTTACTTACATTTCAACCGGTGCTGGTCACATTAAAGAATTATTAATCAGAGCAGTGTTTCCCAATCCCAATCCCAATCCAAATCCCAATCCCAATCCAATTTACTCCCTGGGAGAAAAAAAAGGTGGACAGTCTGGCAGGAAACTGTGAGGGAACAAAAAACACGGAACGTCTGCAGGTCCCCAAGGGCCAGGTTGCCCTGGTCAACCGCAAGTGAAGTGACTGTGATGTGGAAACATCTGGGAGCAAGTTCAGCTGCAAAGATGTCAATCACATGAGCTCACAGAAAGGGGCCTGATCACCCAACATCAATAACCAAATGCCACCAGCAATGATTCAGCTTCTAATGGAAATCCGTCCCAGAAGAGCAGAGGCTCTTACGGCAACAATGAGCCAACCGACTTCACGTTAATGGCCTTGGTTTGGGAATGAGATGTTGTACAAGCTGGTGTCCACATATTTTTCGCTATATAGTGTATCTACCACAGCCATAAGGAAACAGATGTAATAAGAACAAAGATAAGCAGGACGATTAGTCACCCCTGGCAAACTGAATTCCTGGAGGTTCAGCTTTTTCCTGCGTTGTCAGCTGATCTTCCGCCTCGAGGTTCAAGTTTCAATTGTCGATGAGTTTTATTGTCACGTGTTTGTTGGAACACGTGTAGGGTGGGGGGACAAGAGGACAAACAGCCATAGGAGACAAACAGTCATGCTTTGTTGCAGGTTGCTGAGGGAGCATTTCCCAAATAACAACCTACTGAAGGTGATGGGCGTGCAGAAGTTTGTGATCCCCTTCCACGTGCTGGACCTCATTTACAGCCAGACCGTCACCTGGGTGGGGGTCTTCTACTGCCCCCTGCTGCCATTCATCTCCCTCATCAAGCTGTTCCTAGTCTTCTATATCAAGAAGGTGCGACACCAGCATAGATCTGGAAGGGTTCTGCTCCGCCGGTCTCTCTGTCTTTCCTGAAATTCACTTATTGGCTTTTGTGTCGTTTCCCAATAGTATGGCATGTTAGCTGGGGGTGTGGTAGCAAATAAAGAAAGGGCTGGCATGACTCAACCAAATGGGGGGGTAAGTTGTTCAATGAGGGACATGCGGACGTGTTTATGGTCCAGTCAGCTTCTCTGTTTTTACCCGCCCGCCTTGACCCAGTTTGCCGTGCGGCGGTGCTGTGACCCCGCCCACCGCGTCTTCCGGGCCTCCAACTCCTCTGTCCTCTTCCACTTCATCCTGCTCCTGGGGCTCCTGATGGCGACCGTGGTTCTCGGCATCACCCTCAACAAGTAGGTGGAGCTATTCTGCCACACACCCGCCTCCTCACCTCCAGGCAGAAGCCCTGAGCTTCTCCTCCATCCCACCCTCCCCTCGCACAGGCTGCCTCCTTCCCCAAAATGCGGTGCGTTCATGGACAGGGGCACGGTGTTTAACGTCACGGCGGACTGCGTGGACAGCCTGCCCAGAGTCCCCCGCGACCTCATCCACTTTATGTCCTCCGAGGCTTTCGCCCTGTCGCTCATCCTGGCCGAGATGTAAGTGGAGATTGACAATAAATTGGGCCCAGGCAGGTAAATACAGCAGAGGGGGTGGGCGTTTCCAGAGACCCATTACAATCACTGCATATGCCAGACTAATGTATGAAAGAATAAAGTTGCATGTTAGTTACTGATTAATCCTGCGTAAAAGACGAGAAGGGACATATCAGGTCACATTCATCCTGATTGGGAGATGCCAGCTTGAGACGGCATGCAAGGTGCTCGCAAAGCATTATGGGATTGCTATGTCATAAGTCTAATAGGTCAAGCATTTGTTTATTGTGGGAGGTGAACACTGGGGGGGGGGAGGTATGCAAGACTCTGTGTGAGCTGAGGGATCTCTGCTGGCTTTCCCAGCATCCTACTGACGTCGTCCATGTCCCAGAGGAGAGCCAACAACAAGTCCATCGAGAGGCTGAAGAACATGCTGGTTATAGTAAGACTTCCTGCCTTAAAGTTTTATCATATTGTAAAGATTGGAACTATGGTCGGAAAGTAGCACACAAACAGTGTTCACATGACGATTAAAATGTGAACGCTTCCTCCATCAGTTTATTGTTATCAATATTGTAATGCTAATACTTGTACAATATACTACTGTCCTTTCTCCATGTTATGATAAACAGTCAAATGACCGCATACAGCTGTGAAAACAAACCCCATTTCCCCTCCTCATGTGCGCTCCCTTTCTCGTTCCCCCTGCAGTGCAGCTCTGATAAATGGTTCCTCGTGAGGCATCAGTCGGCCTGGCTGCGCAGCCAGTCACCCGAGAGCAGCGACTTTGCAGGCAGCGGGCAGCTCAGTCCCCCACCGCTACAGGAGGACCTGTCCTAGGGGGCGCTGTCAAACCACGCAACACGTGCGCCCACTGGCACCTTGTGATGAACTCAGGATGCCTCAGTGACGTTGTGTGGCCTGGCACGACTGCGGCAAGGCCACATTTGTGGCGGTGATGCAGGGACACATTTTAGTGAACTGCGATTCCCAGCCCAACCATGTGAACCAAATGCCGTCCCTTCTGATTGGGCATTTCTCACGTTCTGATAAACCATGATTGGGTCAGATAGACTATAAGCATTATATCAAAAGTCACCGCTGTAAATATGTTTTATACATGTATATGACTTTATTGCTGAGTAAATATGTTTATCTGAGTGCAATTAAACCTGACTTCAAGCAGCGTATCTCACTGGCTGAGGTGTGACCCGTAAGGTTTCTCAGCCCAGCGCTCTGACGACATTCGTAGGAGACGCTTCCTAAAATGGCTTCAGCTCCGGGCATCGCAGCTTTTCTGGGGACTTTGGCTTGTGTTTCATGTGTCTCCAGAGAATATTATAGATATTATTTTAACATTCTTTACAAGCAGTTAAGCAAATGGCAATAGCATGTCCAGAAAATATTTGTACATACATGCTGTTCAATAAAGCTTGTTTATATTTATTTGAATTATTTTCTGTCAATTATTTATTTAAATTATTACAGCCAAACAATGCAACACATATATGCAGCTATTAATTAACTGTCTCATTTGTTTGCAGTCAACTTACTTTCTTGAATTAACAATTTACTAAGATGTTCTTTCTTTTTTAAAAGCCAAGTCAAATTTCTTTCCCAAGAAAACTGAACTGAGCAGGTTTTACACTGAAATAAGGCCTTTAGTTCAAAAGACACCCAATCTGGCCTTTGCTCAGTTTCTCCATGTTTTGTGCTGTATTTCACTGTTTTTTTCCTGTAAGGTGCCCTTGGTGATTTCCCATAATGCTGTGGGGGACAAAGCAGTCCGGACCTGCACAGGAAAAACCGCTTCACCTTAATGTAGTGTACGGGGCGGGGGGCGGGGGGTGGGGGGAGGTATGTTCCCAGCTATCTGTCCCCTGCAGATGGGAGGGGGGAGGCCAATGTTCCAGGCATTTACACACCCCGCATGCCTACAGGCACAAATGTCTGTGGGTCAGCGGGAAGATGCAGGGATGGGCAGACCGCTGCCTGCGAATTTGATGCTTTTGGGTGAGTCCTCATCCACAGAGAGTCACAGGGCCAGAATTACCTCCTAGAAATCTAATTAAGCTGTTTGTTTACTGTTTCTTCCAGTTTTTGCAATTTTGAGGACAGACAACGGTATGTATTTCTCCTCTGATAGCTTCAATATGTTCTTTAAAAAATGGATCTCGCCCAAAAACAGCTCGTTAGTGGCTGATTAGCATGTAGAGCCTCATCCTCTGTATAGATACTTCTTTTGTACGTTTGAAATTTATGTATTTAGCATGTGGCTGGTCTAACTGGGGGCTCAATTCTGTAATTATAGCTGTGCTTTTACCTATCTGTTCACTGACGGGGGTCTTACAGCCAGGGTAACTCATACAGCGGACAGCTTTGTAGTTAGATAATACGTTAACTAGGTTAGTAAGAACGCTGTACAGCAGTGTTTCCCAATCCGGTCCACGGGGACCCACAGCCAGTCCACATTTTTGTTCTTTCCAAGCTCCCTGCCAAACAGTCCACATTTGGATGGATGTTAGGGTAGAGTTTAGGGGTGCGCCATAACAGAAAAATGGTGTGTAGGTTGGAAAGGGGGAAAGATTAAAGAAAGATTAAACTCTATTATAACAAATGTGTTTTCAATGTGATTCATTGACAAATAGTGACCGATGTAGGACAATTGGCTCAGGCGTGGATATTTCCAGAACAAGAAACTACCTAAAAACAAAACCTTCGTTGCTGCCAAAATAAAAAAACTTAAAGACAATATTCTAGACCTAACTCTCTAACTAACCCAAAAACCACTAACCCTACAGTCTGAACAAAAAATGACAACTAAAGTAACAAATATAACATTTAATTAACAAATGTATTACAGGCCATCATGGGAGTTTCTAGCTGTTGAAAAGATCAGTCAAGTGAAGTTTACCTGGGGGGTTGACTGTTTATTTTTTATTTTTTGAAGGAAGATTGGCGTTGGGGTTAAAATACTCGAGGCTAGGCTTAACATACTTGGGGCAACAGCCTCCAGTGATCAGACCTAACGACACCCATGCAGGGCACACAAGACCAAGGTAGGGACCAAGCAAAAAAAATCATCATCAGAAAACTAGCGAATGTCATACACCAAAAATTCAAAAGAATGTTAAATAGATCACAAATCACAAAATGAATATCTGAGAGCACGCAGGCCAGGGTGTGGCGAAAACTTCTTTTGAAGCGTGCCGGCAAAATTAATCCACGTCAACTGAACCAATGAAAAGCCGGACAGAGGCAACACCGGGATGAACCTACCAGGAGCTGAGAGGCTGCAAAAATGTGAGCTGTGGTCAGTCCTAAGGACTGGGATGGGAAACACTGATCTAGAGTCATCTGTGCGGTTTGGGTGCCATTTGCATGGATATAACAGCTCTAGGCTTCCGATATTCATGGCCCAGCCCAAGGTCAGAGTACACCATTGGCTGACACAGAGCGCAAGCGGAAGACTGACATTTAGGAGACAGACATAATATACACAGTCAAGTCAATTTTGAAAAAAAAAACAACAGGAATTGACCCAAAGTGCTTTCCAGTTGAGGGAATAAGGGATTAAAAAGTACTACATACATAATAATATTTATAAATAAAAATAACATTTGCATACAGGAAATAATCATTAGGTAGTAAAACTTATTTAAAAGTAATAAAACAATGGATTAAAAAGCAGCGAAATGGCAATTAAAAATAAAATAAAAGTGTTATTAAAATGAATTAGAAGCAAAAACACAGATGAGCCAAAACATTATGACCCATGTGACGCAAATAAATTTGATTGTCTAGGGAAAATGACGTGTGTCAAGGTCTGAGGTATATTAGATGGTATTGTAACATTCACTACTTGTAGTTGACATGCTGAATGCATAAGAAATGGGCAGGAATAAAGATCTGAGTGATTCTGACAAGGACTAAATCATTATGGCCAGATGACTGGGTCAGAGCATCTCAGAGCAAACAGCGAGGCTGCCGGGGCGCTCGCGGTTAGTCGTGTGAGTACCTGCTGAGAGTGGACTGAGAAGGGAAAAATGACAAACCGCTGACAGGGTGTTGGGCAGCTAGGACTGGCTGACATGGGATGTGAATGAAGGCTGATGTGGGATGTGAATGAAGGCTAACGTGGGATGTGAAGGAAGGCTGACGTGGGATGTGAATGAAGGCTGACGTGGGATGTGAATGAAGGCTATCCTGTCAGGTGCAAACCAGCAACATCAGAGATGGAAAATGCGAAGACGGTCACAGAGCTGGTTAGTTGAAACCAAATCTTGGTCTGGATTTGTACTTTCTGGACCTGAAATTTCCACCTCTGACCAACATGAGCTGTAGTTTCCATCCGCGCCCTCTATAACCCCCCACCCCCTATACCTGCTTCTCACCATTCGGCTCACGGTCCTAATGTTCTGGCTCATTAGCGTCTGTCTCCGAACTGCCTGTAGATGTGCGTTGCTTGCATGTGCCCTGCAGGGGGCAGGCTCCCCCCTGTGTGTCCCCTGCCTTGAGTGCTGTGCTTAATGAAACAGGACCCCCCCCCTTGGAAATCTGTATGGCAGACGGCTGGATGCATGCTAGGAGGCTCCCATCTCTCTCTGCAGTGCTGTCGCAGCCTGTGCTGAGTGGGCCGCAGAGGGAGTATTTGGCAGCCAGGGTGACCTTCACGTGCACGGCACCCCAGGTGCCCCTCCCCGCCGTCTTCGAGCTCCTGAGGGACAACGAGAGCCAAGTCTTGGCCGAGAAATCTCTGATGAGAAGTCGGCCCGTCAACTTCAGTCTGCCAGTCAGGGACGGCTCGGCAGGGATCTACCGCTGCAGAGTGACCCCGAAGGGGGGCCCCGTCCCTGGCCTGCCGTTCTACAGCAACGGCCTACCCTTCCAGGTCGTGAGTAAGTGAGGGCCAAAGGAATCAGCCAATAAGAAAAGAGGGAGGCAGGACTTCCTGTCAGAAGTGAAGTTGCTCCATTGCCTCATTGGTTCAGCTTCGTTGCATGTGAAAAGCAGCTTAGTGTAGAAACCCGTTATATCCCATTACCAACGTGTGCTAGTGACATTGTCTTAAAGGTCGGGTTGCTTCACTGTGACAATTAAAGCTAATTATTGTTGGTTTTGTATATACAGTATATATCATTTGGTCACATTGCGTTTCCTCCCGTAGTCTAAAGATACAGCGTTTCTCTAAATGGGCCATTGTGCCCTGCAGATGGCGTCCAGTGCAGAGTGTCACTGCAGCGTTTCTAAATGGGCCATTGTGCTCTGCAGATGGTGTCCAGTCCAGAGTGTCACTGCACCCAATAAGTGCTTATGGAAAACGGAGAGATCTTTTAGAGGAATGACATTTTTACCCTCCTCCCCATATGCTCCCCCAGTCCCAGTGCGGGTCACCAGCCTTTTCCCAGACCCCAACCCGCCTACCCTGTACGAGGGGCAGATGCTGACCCTGTCCTGCCGGGTCCAGCGGGGCTCCCACCTGACCTACAGCTGGCTCCGCGATGGCAAGCCGCTGCCTGATAGCCCGCTGCCTGATAGCCCGCTGCCTGATAGCCCACTGCCTGATAGCCCGCTGGGAGGAAGCCTCACCATCGGCCCCGTGACGCAGAGCCACGCCGGGAACTACTCCTGCGCTGCTCGGAACGACATGACCAACACCCACGTCTCCCACAGCAGAGATATCCCGGTTGTGGTCAGAGGTGGGGGGCTTAGGGGCTGAGGGGCTGCCAGACATTGATAATTAGGTCCTTTTCCTTTATTACATGATCATGATGTCTGACAAGACAATAAAGCGCAGAAAGAGTTAATTTTCTGTGTGTTTCCTGCCTCACACAGTCAGCTCATTAAAAACAGCACAACCCTATGGACAGGCTGCACCCCCCCACCTCAGACTCTTAAATATTTAATTATCAGGTTTTAATTGAGCTACTGAATTTATCACCCAGCTTCAGTCAGAAATGACACTCATTCCATTCCTAACCAATGTTGAATCACATCAGCTCATTGATACTTTACATCAGTTCACTAGTCCTCCATTGTAAAGTCACTCTGCTGATTCTAGGATTTGAACCAGCGCGCTTCTGATTACAGACACAGCACCTTAATCATCATGAGTAATTGTCTGTTGCTTTAATTGTATTAACAGGTAGGTTGAGCCCTGAAGCTCAAACCCTACGAGGTTACGGATGTTAGTCACTCTGTTCACCCATGTGAGGGTGTTTGCAGCCCTGTCCCTTTAATAAGCGTGAAGTGGACATGTTCACATCCCTTTAATAAGCGTGAAGTGGACATGTTCACATCCCTTTAATAAGCGTGAAGTGGACATGTTCACACTCTTGCTCTCCGTGACACTCTCAGCCTTGCTGTCCAAGCCACACGTCTCGTTTGCTGTGACCAAAGAGGGCTCAGGATACCGCGCTGACGTGACGTGCCACTTGGCCAAGGGGACGCCGCCTGTGCAGTTTCGGCTCTTCCTGAATGACACGGAGGTGGCCAGCAGGGCGGCGCCGTCACGCAGCACCAGCTTCTCAGTGTCGGTGCGGCTGGGGGAGAGACTGGGGGAGGTGCGGTGCGGGGCAGAGAACACGGTGCAGCGGCTTGTCAGCAATGCGGTAACGCTAGAAGTGGGTGAGTTCCTCTGCACACTCCTTCGTGACACCTTGGGGCATCTACAAGGGAGAGGGGGGCTCTGTGGGCACAGGCATGAGCTGTGTGTCTGTGTGTGCAGTCCCTGTAGGGGGCGCTGTGCATCTCCAGGTACAGTACCTGCATGACGCGGCCTCCACCGTTGTCGCCGTCCTGCTCCGCTGCACACTCGCTCAGGGGACCTTTCCGGAGTTCGCCTGGTTCCTGAACGACACCCTCCTGGGAGAGAAAGGTGCCTCGCACCTCATGACCGACCAAAACGGTACCCTCCTCCTGATACCCGTCATGGCAGAGAACTCAGGATACTACCACTGTGAGGCTAAAGACAGCTTCGACGACACGCCGTGGTTACGAAGCCAGGAGCACCTGATCCACAGCTCCGGTAAAGTAGTGCTCCCCTTCCTGCTTACATCTCCGCCTCATTCTCTCAGGAGTTTCCCTCTGACACTAATTCATTCCCTAATTGCTTAGTAATTAACCCACAACTTTATCCAAAGGGATGACATTTTTTCACTCATTTGAATGAAGCTGTATGTTTTACTAGAGTATTCTAAGGTTCACTCCTCACTCGAGGGTACAACAGTAGAACACCTTCTGGGAGTTAAACCCACAACCCTGAGTTATCTCCCCTCCTCTTGTCTAGTACTCTACGTCTTTCCAACCTTAAGTCACTTCTGCTTAAAGCGGACCGTTTCGTACGCTCTGCCTTGGTGCAAATCCCGAACCTGGCAGAGTAACCGTATCGCCATTCAGCCCTTGAGCAAAGTCCAAAACCACAAGCAGAGCCCCTAGTGGTGCATTCGGACTCGTGGCTCAGGGTCACAGGGTGATCCCAGAATTCCGATGAATCTGTATTTGAATCTGCACAAACGCATCTCGTCAAAAACCGGTTCTGCCCCAGCAGTGTCCCGCATGGTGACTCTGGAAGTGATCGCGGTGGCGTTCGGCTGCTTCCTCCTGCTGGCCATCCTGGGAAGTGCCTGTGTAGCCTTGGCACTGACTAACAGTAAGTGTCCCCCGAGGGAGGGTGAAGGTGGGGGCTGCTCTCTCCGTGTCACACAGCAGTGACCAAACCTTTGCCTCGTCACATATGACAGCAGTGTAGAAGAACACGGCCTGATAACCAAAAACATAAAACGTTGAAAATGTTAAAAAGCTGAAAAATATTTCTTTTTGGTGTCCTGTGTCCTTCAGGGGGTGTCAGTAGCAGTTCACCAGCCAGGTATCGATATATGTAAGTGTGTGTGTGTCTGTGCATGTGAGTGTGTGTGTCCATGTGTGTGTCTGTGCATGTGAGAGCCTGTGTGTGTGTGTGAGAGCTTGTGTGTTCATGTGTGTGTGTCTGTGCATGTGAGAGCCTGTGTGTGTAAGGTTTTCATAGTAGGGATAAGGGTTATGCCCATAGAAATGAAGGGAGAGACCCCACAAAGATATGAATCTGTGGACTGTATGTGTGTGTGTGCGTGTGCCTGCAGTGGGTGTGGCTTGCTGTTAGGCCCCACCCACCATTTCTGCACACCTGAGTCTCTCTTCACCCCTGCCGCACTTTCTGCTCATGAACGCCTCCCCCTCTGCCTCTCAGCGGCCCCAGGCCCAGTATATTTGACCTCCTAGAGATCCCACCCAGGCCAAATGTCTCAGCGAGGGAGGAGGCCAGCGACAGAAGCAGCCCCCACCACACGGTGAGAATCCACCTCCTCTGATCCCAGATCCATCTCGTCCTCCCAACCAGACTGACACCTCCTCTGATCCCAGATCCATCTCCTTCTCCTAACCAGACTGACACCTCTTCTAATCCCAGATCCATCTTGTCCTCCCAACCAGACTGACATGTCTTCTAATCCCAGATCCATCTCCTCCTCCCAACCTTAATATTCTAAATTTAACCCCGACTATGTCAAAATAATGTGTAATGAAAGGTGACTGTTTAAGATTCCTGAAAGTATTTTTCACTCCCTATAACTCCCCCCCCTCATTTGTACTGCCTTGTCACATAACCTCTTACTACTCTGGTAGGAGGTGAGGTTTAACATTTCTATGCTGCTCCACACAGTGACTTTTTAAATGAATGCTTATTTGAAGTGTCGGTAAGGATAAACACACGAGTGGATAATTTCTCAGGCACCGTGACAGCCTACTGTAACCTGTCCGGCTCTATTTCCTCTGAAAAGGACCCCAATACGGCTACAGCTGAGGAACAGCTTCCAGTATGACAGGCTGGTTTCCAACCCGCCCATCGTCTCTCTGCCCCAGGGAGCCAAGAGAGCAAAACTTTACTGCTTATGGCCTGACACTCAATGACTCCCCAGCTGTGTTTACATTATTAATTGATAAAAAGTTTGTTGTTTATTAAACAGTTTTTGTTATTCGTTTGCTCTGTTGCATCACTAATAAACTGTCCAAACGGCAGCGTTCAGCCTGTTCTCCTTCACCCTCAGTGCAGGCCTTATATTCTCTGTATATTTTCACTGAATTGTGTTCTGTGGTGTTGGAGATGATACTGTCAAGCGCTATCTCTGCCCCCCTCATGCCTCGCTGGGGTGGAGGGGGCCGTCATATCTTTCTAAAACATCCCACAACACTGGAGGGAGGGGCAGAGTAACTGCAACTGCGTAGCAGTTTCGGGATCGATGGACTCGGTAGCCAGCGCCTGATCAGAGCCCGTTTAACTGCTACATCGTCAGAACCGAACTCTGCTTGCGGACCAGAGACTAAAGATGAATCAGAAGTTTGGACGCCTGGTAGCCATGATAGTTGGTATGTGGCACAATCGTCAAACCGCTACATCTAACGTTCGAACTGCTATGACTCCATGACAATTCAAAATGTCAAGACTAATGCATTAAAATAACTAGCTGTGACATACCCAGCTACGACAATGCTGTGACATCATAATAAGTTGCTTTGGCAATGTGCTATAGTAGCAACTTTTAAATGGTTATAAATGTTTTCTGTCTGTTTTCATGAAGTCTCTGGTTCAAATTATACAAACACACCCCATAATCCATACCAAGATAAATGGTTAGAAGATGGATGGATAGATGGATGGATAGATGGATGGATTATATGAAAACATTGCTTCATTTTCTGTTGTTGGACGTCACTGATCTTCTGCTTCCTTCCACTGCCCTTAATTCAATCTACTTTTAGCTTTAATGCTGACGTGTGTGAAGTTCACATGTAAAACTTAGAGGGACATTGATGACGTTGATTTCCTCTTCACTGGCAGGTCTGTCCTCCCTGCACGCCGTCCTCTGTAAGTAAACATCGCCGCTCCTCCCGGGTCTCCCACTGCAATATCATCTCTCTCTGTATGAGTTGCTGTCAGCTCTTTCTCTTCCGCTCAAGGCTCTGGCGAGTTGGGCAAACCAAGCCTGATCATCCCTCCCTTCGCCCTGGTAGGAGACTACGTGTATTTCAGATGCCGTCTCCCAGAGAGACACGGGGAAGTGATTGACTTCACGTTCTACAGCGAGGAGGCCAACATGTCTGTAGAGGCATCATTACAGCGCAATGAAGAAAATGCCAGCATCACTGTCTCAGCTGTACTGAGAAACCAAGGTCATTTCATGTGCAAGGCGGAAGTGCATAACAACACAAAAGTGACATCCCTGGTCAGCGACAGAGTCTACTTCAAAGTGGTCGGTGAGTGTGACATAGGGACCCCCTCCCCCACCCCCAGCATATAATAACATCATGCTGAAGGCTGTGAGGCCCCTCAGACGAGACCTCTTAGGGTCATGACTGGTTTACAGAGAGCTAGCTGCAGGTAGAACAGCGAAGGGGAGCACCTGATATGAGGAAAGTGGGAGGACATGGAGATGGGATTGGAGGAGGTGCAAGAAAATGGTGGGGAGCAACAAAAATAGAGGCGTCTGGCCGTCAGCTGGTGGGAAACTGCGCTGAGGGGGTGTCAGGCTCTGGAGTCGGGGACAGGGTGTGTTTTCAGGGGCCGGGAGGTATAACAGAAGTCAGTATTATCTGATAATAGTAACGCAGTTTTTCTCGATTGCTTTGAAGCATTTCTCAAATGATAATTAACATGTAATCTCCACACCGTAATGTCACTTCTACACAGCATCTCGCATTGTGGAGCTCAGGACTGTACTTACATTCGGAAAATTCTCATTTCTCATTATTTCACACAAATTTCCAAATGTTTTACTACATATATACAAACGGTTTAGTACAATTGTCCTCTTTTGCCACAGTTTTCAGTCACTTTAGTCTTGTTCATGAAATACTTTATGTAGTTTTTCATTGTAATGATTTTACACTCAAAACTATACATGTATGTGATCCTGATGTTAGTCAGCACAGGCAAGACAGCTAACCAAGCTTTCAAGATGATGTATAAATATATCCCATAATTTGCAGTAATATAGCATTGTGGTGTTTCAGCACATGATTTTGTTGTCCTTGTACTGCCAGTTCTCTGTTTTGTGGTGTACAGCGCTGTGTGACTTTCTGTTTGCTATTATAGCGTGTCGTGCGATATGAAGGAGTTGTGTATGTGGTGCTTTCTCTTGCCAGTGAACAGTACATTCTGCAACGTAGAGCCTTGCAATGTAGAAACTGGTGCCTTTGACATGAATAAGTGTCAGTTTGCTAAAGGAAAATGGTCAGCGATAATGACAAAGTGGGAAGAAATTGTCATTCGGAATTGTGGAGCTGAGGAGCAGACTTACATACTGACAATGTAACAGCATTCGGACTCACGGTTACAATGATGCTGCTTGTGCCTCTCATTTTGGTGGCATTGACTAATTCATTGGAGGAATTTGCTTTTGAGACGTGAATGAATTGTTTTGGGTGGGTTGCAGGCTGTTGCAGATTAGTCATCGTGTTGGGTTATATGCATGAACTGGTTTGAGAAATGCTCTTACAGTCTCTTAAGCATGTTTCAGGTGCCTCCTTGTGGCAGATCATTGTTATTACACTTCAATTTCTATCACTTGATTTCAACTGCCTGCCTATCATTTGGTCAGTCATGTGCCAACACAATATGTAATAACATTTTGCACTGGTCCATTTGTGCACTTCAATTATCATGTTTTATATCACAAAGCTACAGCTTACTGTCTGTGTGTTTTGTTCGCCCCACAGAGCCTATTCAGGAGGTGCTGCTCACACTAACGCTGGGGGAGTTTTTCGAGGGCGATGACCTCACCCTGCACTGTAAAGTGCACGGGGGGGGGGGCATCTCGTACATGTGGCTGTTGGACGGCGTGGAGCTGGAGGTGACCTCTAACCCGCTCCACATCAGGGGGTTGACGCAGAGGGATGCAGGGTCCTACGCCTGTGTGGCGATCAGCAAGATGGAACAGGAGGTCACCAAAAAGTCAAACAACGTGACCGTGACGGTCAGAGGTCGCGTGTCCCTCCCTGGGTGCTCCGACAGATAGATAGATAGATAGATAGATAGATAGATAGATAGATAGATAGATAGATAGATAGATAGATAGATAGATAGATAGACAGATAGATAGATAAACAGACAGACAGACAGATATCGACAGACAGACAGATAGATAGATACAGACAGATTGATAGACATAAATCAACAGAGAGACAGACAGACAGATAGATAGACATACAGATAGACATAAATCGACAGAGACAGACAGATAGATAGATAGATATATAGACATAAATCAACAGAGAGACAGACAGACAGACAGACAGACAGACAGATAGATAGATAGACAGACAGACAGAAAGACAGATAGACAGACATGAATTGTCTTGTTGTCTTGTTGGGAGAGAACTCATATGTGTTTGTCATTCCCCCTCAGAAATGCTGTCCACACCTCAGATAACATTCACAGTACGTAAGGGAGAAGATCAGTACTTCGCCGACATCACCTGCAGCTCTGACAGGGGTTCACTTCCCGCCAATTTCAGCCTGCGCACCTACAACGAGACGAGTGAGGAGGTTCTCACCAGGAGCGCCGGCCCTTTCTTAGACGCCTCCTTCTCTGTGCTCGTCAGTCTGGGCCGGAGCGGAGAGAGGGCTCAATGCTGGGTGAGGGACGGACGCTCCACGTTGAAGAGCAACGCCCTACTCCTGGAAGTGGGTACGTGAAGGGGGCGCCACCGAGATCTGCACTCAGTGTGCTCCTACAACGATTTATTTAGAGTCAGATAAAAATAATTCACATCAGCAGACACTTTTATCCAAAGCGACGTACAATTGAGAGAGTAGGATCAGCCAGTAACCGGGGTTAAGGGCCTTGCTCAGATGTTTTTCTATCCCAGTCCCTGTAGGTGGCGCTGTGCACATAAATCTGGAGTATGACATTGGCCATAACTTTGAAGTGGTGGGAGTGACCCTGCGATGCGTGGTGGAGCATGGGACCCACCCCATTTACCACTGGTACCTAAATGACTCATCGATGCCCGTGGAGGCAGGGGAAGAGTTCTACAGGCTGTCCGACGACGGGCGCTTTCTTACCCTCCTCAACGTCCACACCCCCACCTCCTACCGATGCAAAGCCATGGACATGTTTGACACCAGCTCCAATGTCAGCAGCACGCAGTTCCTCATCGACCAGGATGGTGAATAACCCCCCCCCCCCCAGAACACTCCATAATCACGTCACACAAAGGAACATGACACATTACAGCTCACACATTCATCCAGCTCGTTTATCTGGAATATATATCAGTGGGCTGAATTTTGGACACCTGGTTCCAGGTTGGCTAAGGGTCACTAATACACAGTGCTATCCTAAATGTCATTGGCTGACACAGTGCTATCCTAAATGTCATTGGCTGACACAGTGCTATCCTAAATGTCATTGGCTGACACAGTGCTATCCTAAATGTCATTGGCTGACACAGTGCTATCCTAAATGCCATTGGCTGACACAGTGCTATCCTAAATGTCATTGGCTGACCTCGGATTGCTTCCTGACCCCAGTAGCAGTGTTGTTGCTCTGGCGTGTGAGTGAATCTGCCTTTCAGATGGTTCTCCTTGTCCTTTGCACAGTCCTGAAAAACCACATCCCCACTGAGGTTGCGGCACTGGTCCTTGGCTGCAGTCTCCTCCTTGTGGTCCTCTTGACAGCCTGCTGCATCTATGGAGCAAAGTACTGTGAGTATCGACCGCCCTCCACCCCCCCAGTACCTCAGTGACCTGCACCGAGATAAGAATACAAAGATAAGTCCAGCCTCTCTCTTTAAATGTATAAGTAGCTGATGTAGTGCCTCCTTGTGGCAGATCATTGTTATTACACTCTAATTTCTATCACTTGATTTCAACTGCCTGCCTATCATTTGGTCAGTCATTTGAGGGTTAACTCTGCCATCCCTATCTTCTGTCTCTCAGCCAAACGACAACCCCCAGAGAAGATTCAGTAAGCACTCGACACACTAACCACTGTGTCCCGTTTTAAGAGATTTTGCATTCATTATGAATTCATAAATACTCCTTTACAAACTGTAAATGTTACAGAACTGAATCCAGCAAACTGACAGAGGAACCCTTATCTCATTCTAGGTTGAACTGGTGCGACTCAGAATCAGACGCTGGGGAAAATGAAGAATTGGTATGTATACACTGCCCTCACTAACTCTCAGAGAGACAATACTGGTAGCAATGAGCTATTAGTTAAGTTCTCCCCAAACGAGCTTGATGGGGCGAATGGCCTCCTCTAGTTTGTAAATTTCTTATGTTCTTATGTCTCCCAACTGAACTTGAAAAGCCAGGAAGCACACGACTCACACGCACCACGGATTAATGATGCAAACATGGTGCATGATTTCAGTATTCTTAAGTTTTATCTTTTATAGGCACAAGATGACTATGAGGAAGATCTAGATCTGGTTAGAGCTGCCAATATGGACGAGGAAGAAGAGGTATGGTGGACACGTGCTCTGTTGGGTAGTGTCAGAGGCTGGCGCTGGGATACGTAGCCTGTAGTGGCAAAATTCCTGTCGTCTTTGATTGAACCTAACTACCTTTACCAAACTTTAAGGAGGATCTGATTACGGTGACCTCTTCTCTCATTTCCTTCCCTGTCACAGGCCGACGTGGACTCACTGGAGGACTGGATAGGAACAGAATAGAGAACCCCAAATTAAACCTATGTGCACAGAACAACATACTGCAAGAGAGACACCATTAAGCCTGAACATCCAAATTCCCATAATACATTTAGACAGCTTGAGTACAATATGTGTGTGTATACCTGAAATGAGAATACTGAAAACACAATGTTTAAATAGCTTGTTAATAAATGCAACAGCATCCCTGGGCGTCATTGTGTAATTATTCAGGTTCACTTCACTGGTATCACTGGAATGTACATCATACAGTGTGACGGGCAGATAACAGGCAGCACAGACAACATAAGGCGCAGCAACGGACAGCACAATTTACACCAGATAGTAACAAAGACTACACAGTGCGATACAGTGAACATATACAAGAAGAAGTTGAGCAGTCTGTGATTGGGACTAGGCTCAACTGATTGGTTGGAACAAAATCTTGGTCTGGATTCGTACTTCCTGCTCCTGAAATTTCTACCTTTGTTTTAAAGTCAGACCAATTGTCGTAGATTATGACTGTACAATGAGATGTTAAAGCGCATTACAGTGCATGTTCTGCAGCAGGGGAGGGAGCCTGAGAACCGGGAGCTGAATGCAGTGACAGTCTGGCTGAGCAGACGCCAGCAGGGCAGCACCCAAGCTCAGACGCCAGGGAGCTCCTGAACTGCACCATGATGGAGCTAGACGGAAAGTTCTCTGTGGTGCCCCCTGTAGGCTGAGGTGAGGGTGGTGCAGGGAAAGGAAGCTTCCCTTAGCTGGACCAGGAAGCAGAGTCGGCGTGAAGCCTTTTAGTAACAGAGATGTGAGGTCTTCAGCAATGTGTACACTAAGGAACTTGATTCTTCAGTCTCGACATTATGAATAGGGTCAAGGGAAGGAATCGAAATGTAAAAGGGAGACCCGCTGTGGTTTGGAAGTGCAAATTCCTATTTCAGGACAATTTGCATGTAGGTCTATATACACATACAGCGGGGAAATACGTATTGAAGGCATCAACATTTTTCTCAATAAATAAATTTCTAAAGGATCTATTGACATGAAATTTTCACCAGATGTCAGTAACAACCAAAGTAATCCAAACATACAAAGAAATCAAAACAAATAAGTCCATAGATTAAGTTTTGTGCAATAAAGTGAAATGACACAGGGAATAAGAATTGAACACGCTTACTGAAATTTATTTAAAACTTAGTAGAAAAGCCTTTGTGGGTAATGACACCTTCAAGACGGCTCCTGTATGGAGAAGCTATTCACATGCATTGCTCAGGTGTGATTTTGGCCCATTCTTCCACACAGACTGTCTTCATATCTTGAAGGTTCCAGGAGCCTCTCCTATGAACTCTGACCTTCAGTTCTTTCCATAGATTTTCTATTGGATTTAGGTCAGGTGACTAACTGGGCCATTCCAGCAGCATTATTTTCTCTCTCTGAAACCGATTGAGGGTTTCCTTGGCTGTGTGTTTTTGGGATTGTTGGGGTCAACATGTGGTGTAAATTTCACGGCAATAACCCCATTAGAAATATATTTACTGAGAAAAATGTTGATGTGTCCAATACGTATTTTCCCCGTTGTATTCTTACATATTTAGAATCAGAATCGAATTTATTGCCAAGTACGTTCACACATACAAGGAATTTGCTTTGGTGGTTGGTGCCAGACATCGAGAAATGAGGTGGTTTATATATATATATATATATATAAAGAGTATGTACAGGTGCTAATATAAAAGGTCAGAGAATTATGGAATATGATACAGCAGTGGAAATATATACATATTTGGGAGAGTGCATGCTTGTGCTAGGATGGGGAAATAGTATTTGAGTGAGTGTTTCTGGCCTTATTGATGAGGCGGGTCGCGGTGGGGAAGAAACTGTCCCTGTGTCGTGATGTTTTGGTCTCGATGTACCACAACCTTCTGCCAGAGGGGAGAGTCTGAAGGAGTTTGTGACAAGGGTGAGAGGAATCGGCCATAATCCTTCCTGCTCTTTCCAAGGACCTGGACTCCTACAGGTCCTGTAAAGATGGAAGGTTGCAGCCGATCGTCTTCCCGGCAGAGTGGATGATGCGCTGTAGTCTGCTCTTGTCCGTGGCAGCAGGGTACCAGACGGTGATGGAGGTGGTGAGGATGGACACAATGATGGCAGTGTAGAAGTGCACCATCATAGTCTTTGGCAGACTGAACTTCTTCAGCTGCCTCAGGAAGAACATCCTCTGTTGAGCTATTATTAATAATAATTTTTTGCGTTACCAATAAGGTCAACACACGTCTCCAGGACAACAATAGACTGGCAGAAATTGTACAACCACACAACTACTCAAATAAATAATAAACAAACAGACAAATAAACAAACAGATAAACACATAAATAAAGTTTTTAAAAGTTCTCGGCATCTTCATCTGTCTGTTTTTTGTGTCTATAGAAGTCCACTTGTTACTTTTTAAAGTTCTCCTTCAAAAAAGAAAAGACTATTAAAATCTGCAGGCCCGCGATATAAAGGCCAGCCGCCTCCTGTCTGCGGGGGGGAGGTCTCTCTTTTTCCTCTCTCGCGTGTCACGCCGCGCTCGCTGATTTTCGGGGGGCAGATCGGCCGGAGAGCAGAGAGGGAGCCCAGCCCAGCCCAGCCCAACCCAACCCAACCCAGCCGCCATCGGCAGCGCAGCCCGGCAGAGAGCAGCGCGTAAGCATGGAGGCGCCATCGGGCAGCGCGTACGGAGCCTCGCTGGCCGGCGGCTCCTTCGACCCTATCAGCTTCATTCAGAGACCGCAGACCGTCCTGCGCGTATTGAGCTGGGTGAGCGGCCCGTCCGCCCTCTGATTAACTTAAGTCGATTGGGATATTATAGGTTTTTAAAATTCCCGCATTGGTGGAATATTACTTAATGCAATACTAGGTTATCGAACCCGGTCGTTCATATTCGGCTGGATATGTATGATTGGCTTTTCTTGTTCTTTTTTGCTGCTATGAGCCCTTCCCCTTGCTGGAGCGATGACAGCCGGGGAGGGGACGCTGGAAACTGCGTTTTCTTTCTTTATGAGACTTTCTTCGCTTTATGGCAGTAAAATATGATTCTTTATCTAGGCGGCTAAATAAGACACGCAATGTGGCTTATGGCCGCTTTCAGTAGAAATCTCACTAACTGCGCCTGACGTGTGAAAGGACCGCGATTTATCCGCTTTTCGTTTAAGTGACTCCTTACCTGAAAACCGTCATCTAAACAGGGAGTTGTTATTAAAGTAAAGGAAACGTCTAAAGCTACATGGATAAAACGCCTAAATAAGATTTTTGGTGGGTTTGAAGGACCGAAGTCGCCGTGTTCAAATGTACAACAGGTGCAGCGCGTGCACTTGCACCTTTATAAACCTTTTTTTTTTAATTCAGATGTATTTTCACGGAGGTAATTGGCCATTTTTAAAGGCGGCGGTCGTACGGCAGCTTCTGGCGTCTCTTTGCTAGTCGCATGTAATTTTACGCCCCTAATTCTGCCGTTTTAAATCAAAACATGAACTGTCTGCTTATTCCTTCTTTTTCGAACAAAGAGGTAATTTTTACAAAGTGATTCTTTTTCGGTGATTCCCCCCCGCTCGAAATCAGCTGGCTTAAAGTCTTGCTGCATATTGCCGCCCGGTCCGTTTGTCACGTTAATGTTGCATTTATCTGCCCCTCCCCCCTCCCAACCAGGCTCTCGGTAAAGGTTACAGGCGACAGAGCAGACTGGTATAAAAGCAGGTCATTTAAACTGTAATACCACACGGAAAAATCCAAAAGCCGTTGTTGTATGAACTTAAATTTCGAAATTCTGTAACTTACTATAGGCTTTAAAACGTAAGATTTTAAATATGGTGACTGAAGGAGCACAGGGCATTTGCTGTGCTGGCAGGGCGAGCTTGCCTTAACATGGCTGACATTTGTGCTCTTATTTACTGCCCGTGTCGGCCAGTAGAGCAGAGAGATGTTCAGCTGATGTGCCTGGGCCACTACCCCTCCCCAGAATGAAAATATGAACATGGCAGGTGGTACGGAAAGTGACACCGCTGCCGCAGATCCTGCCAGTCTGGAAGGGGCAGTTGCTGGTGACTGTCACATGACCTGGAATGTGTTTTCCGGCAGCCTCCAGAGTGCCGTTCCTCCCTCCCCCTCCCTTACCCCCTCTCCCTTCATTTCTGAGCTATTCATCGCGCTGTGCCAGCGCAGAGAGAGCCGCTTGTTGGTCACAAGCCAGTCATGTGATGACGGAGCAGACCTCTGCTGTGGTCTCCTGGGGTAGGGCCTCGGTCTGATGGAGGTCCTGCCCGCCCTCTTCGACGAGCCCAAATAAATCCTCAGTGATCTTGTTTATAAATCTGCATGCCTCGACTCGTAGATGATGGTGTTCTTTCTTTATTATAGTTGCTGGGTGACTTCGTTTTTGTTCCTCTGCTGTGTGATGGAGTGTCCCCCCCCAAAATTCTCCGATCAGCTCATAACATTAAAGGCACATGCCTAATATTTTGTTGGTCCCCCTTGAGCCAGTCCCGATTCATCAAGGCATGGACTCCACAAGACCTCTGAGGGTGTCCTGTGGTATCTGGCACCAGGACGTTAGCAGCAGATCCTTAAGGTCCTGTAAGTTGCGAGGGAGGGGGGGGGCCTCCATGGATCTGACTTGTTTGTCCAGCACCTCCTACAGAGGCTCTATCGGATGGAGATTGGGGGCCAAGTCAACATATTGAACTCATTCATGTTCCTCAAACCCATTCCTGAACAATTTTTGCAGTGTGGCAGGGTGCATTATCCTGCTGAGAGGGCACCGCCCTCGGGGGACACCGCTGCCCAGAATTGGCGTATTTTGGCGAATGTTTAGGTAGGTGGTGTGAGGTTGGATGGGGGCAGCATGTGGCTCTGTGGGCTAAGCCTCTTCTCCTGTGGTCAGAAGGTCCTCAATTCAAGCCTGGCTTTGGCACATCTGCAGGCCCTTGAGCAAAGGCCCTTAACCCCCAGCTCCCTGGGCACTGCAGCAGGGGGCTGCCCTTCACTGCCAGCTCCCTGGGCACTGCAGCAGGGGGCTGCCCTTAACCCCCAGCTCCCTGGGCACTGCAGCAGGGGGCTGCCCTTCACTGCCAGCTCCCTGGGCACTGCAGCAGGGGGCTGCCCTTAACTGCCAGCTCCCTGGGCACTGCAGCAGGGGGCTGCCCTTCACTGCCAGCTCCCTGGGCACTGCAGCAGGGGGCTGCCCTTA